CCCAGAGAGTTTAGCAATTATAGCCCCACTTGAAAGGTCTTCGAAATTTCAATCTTCACCGACTTTAGTTTGTTGACAATTACTTGTAATTCGTGCACTTAGGGAAGTAAAGGAATATTATCTAAAAATTTGAAGTCAAAGTACTTCAAAATAAAAAATTTCTTGCTACCTTCTTCTTTCGCTTTATATTTACTCTCTAATGTATTCCAAATCTCCTTTGACGATGTTGTGTTTGTGTATAAGCCATACAATCGATCAGACAACGCATTGAGTATGTGACCCGGACATATCAATTCATTTTCTTAGCGTTTCTGCCTTGATTGCATCGGTCTCTTCATTTGTGGGTTCCGATAACGGAGCCAAATCTGGATCCAAAATATAGAAAATCTTAAATGCAGTATGGAGAAATTTCAACTTGTCTTGCCATCGCTTAAAGTCAGTGCCATCAAACCGATCCAACTACACCAAGTCTTGATTTGGTCGTTGTCATTATTGTCTCACTCTCCATCGCAAAAAATAACGTTTGAGATTATTGGAAAGGGTTAATAGCACAAAATGTCCCTACGTTTGACATTTATTGCGAAAAACGTCCATACATTTAATTTTATTTTTTTTGCATTTTTGCCCTTATTTAACGTTTCTTTGCGCAAAACGTCCTTCCGTCCATCTGACGTCTATTTCACCGTTAAATGCAACATAACTCACTTTTAATTTCAAACTTGAAGAGCAAAATGGTCAAACACTCCAAGAAACTCTTATTCCCACCATAAATAAGTTATTCCCAAAAAAGAAAATTTCCCACCATGAATATACACAGCGGATGAATACATACCTGAAAGTTGTGAGAGAGAAATAATACTGACTGTCACCCATTGATTTATGGATTGCGCTACTGAGCCAGGCTTAAAGCCAAACTCAAAAACAGGCTGACGTGGCCTGTTGATTTAAAAAAAAAAATCCTTTGAAAGTTTCAACCTCAATTAAAATCACACAAAAAAAATCTGAGACTCCCACTGTCCCACGACCTCTGTCTCTCTCCGAAAAAGAGAAAATCCCCAAATCAAATCCATTGAATCGATCTACCCTAAACCACAAACCTAAAGCGAAATCGCCCACATTCCAAATCCTAAGCACAACCAAGCAGTTCTTCGGCTGCACTTCCAAAAGGGGTAACACCACGCCGTACTTTCGTCTTGGGTTTTGTTGTCGCTTGACCTCTCATATCCGGTCCCCATCGAAACCACCACCATCTCCGACCACAGTTGTCGTCGTGGTATCGCCGCTCTGCCTCGCGACTTTGCACGCCACCACAGAAGAACCGGTCAGCTTGTTCTCCGTCCCGGAACGCCACGAAATTAATATCATTTTTCAGCTTTGCTCAGGTAGTATGTTGTCTATTTTATCACATGAGAAATTTGTATTCCATCGACTTGTTGAACTGGGGCTTTCGACAAATTGGTATGCTGTCTAACTTGATGTGCTTTTCAAGCCGTAAGCCTCATACAGCTTTCCAAAACAATGTTGCCCGGGCAATAGAGCTTGAGTGTCTTTTCCATGCTACCATTTGTGTTTTTCTTTTTTTAGTCTTTTTGTTGGCTATGACCTATTGCCATACACGTTGGTCAAATGTTGCTTTCATGTTTCTTAAGCTTCATTTTAGTTGTATTGGTTATAGTTCATTTACCTTTATAGTATTTGGTTTGAAAAATGATTTCATTTTAGTTTTCAATAATCCCCACTATGAAGAATCTCTCTCCTTTTCGTTAGAATTTGAAATTTGTAGTCTATTGACTTATGGCTTCTTGATGAACAGGCGTTGAATGTTTGACATTGATATGGAGCAACAAAAAGTGTCGGTGAAAGGCAATGTCCAGCCAGAAGCATTTCTGCACTGTTTCAAAGACTAGGAAGGTGACTTCTTTCTAGGAAGCACCCCCTTAAGATGTTGCTTAATATCCTCATTTGCTACTCTGGATGTTCTCAGCAAACTGATTTTGTAGATGAGAAGTCACTGCCAGATTAACTTTCGATGTTCTCAGCAAACTGATTTTGTTATCTGCTGTTGAATGTGTTGTATTTAATTAGCTTATGGGAGGACTTCCAATTTCACTTTTGATTAGCTTATGGGAGCACTTCCCGTTCTTAGCAAAATTATTGTCTTTTATTTGCCCTTTGTTCTTACTAATATTTCAGTGCTGAAGTTTTGACTGTTTCCACAAGAATAATTCGATTTATTCGCACAAATTAATTATTCCACTATATTTACATAATACCATATAGCAACTAATAGATAACAAACATGCCTTGTAATGGATTTTTTTTGGATGAAAACCCTGCTGGAATTCTTCCTATGAACACCACTAAATTTACGTAATACCATATAGAAAATAATAGATAACATGGAACAACAAAGTATTGAAAGCATCAAGACAAGAAGTTCAAAGTGCTTAGCAGAAATTGCTTCATAAAACAATGAAGTAGTCGATGGCAAATTTAACAAGCTGGCAAAACAAGAACCACACTCCTACAATCACACGCCTCATCACAGGCCTCTGCCACTTTCATCAAATGAGTTTGGATAGAACGACGGCAACGCTTGACTTACAATCGAATACCATGTGAAATAGTTAGTGATGCATGCATTCACAAAAAAAAAAGGGACCTTAGGGAAAAAGGGAGGAATTAATACTACATATTGAAAAGGAATATTGGGGAAAAAAGAGAGGGATTACTACTACATATCCAAAAGGAAATGGGAAATAATAATCACTGGTATCTTCTTACTGCAATCAAGATACATGCCTACATTGGGGAAAAGAAGAGGAATTATTACTACATATTGAAAAGGAATATTGGGTAAGAAAGAGAGGAATTACTACTAAATATTCAAAAGGAAACAGGAACTAGTATAATTATCAATGGCGTCTTCTAGATACAGTAAAGCCTAAGTTGCAGGAGAAATGGTGTCTTCCAGTTGCACTAATGCACACAAAAATTAGACATTGAACCCTCAAAAATCTAATTATAGTTTTCATACCTTTTATATGTACTGGGATTCTGAACCTCAACCAAACAAACTCTAGTTTCTGTGAGCTTTTGCAATGGGCCAAAATCTGAGCTCTTCACTATTATTGGAGAAGGCTAGGTCTCGTACGGTCGCCGGAATTCACCAAACGTTCGGGAATGTCGTTGCCGGAGTTTATAACCTTTTTGCCGGAGCTGGAATCATGCTGCGGCAGTTTAATTCGTATTATTTGGGGGAAAGTCCTATTTTGGAAGAGGGAGGAAATGGGTGTATTGTGTTTCTGTTGGTTTCCCTCCAAGTCAAATGACTTTGTTTTATTTCACTTTGTTTCCCACCAAAAAGACAAGAAAACAATGGACACGTAACCCAAATTTGAAACCCTGTTTTTTAATCTGTCCTTGGGACCTGTTCGACTAGCATAATTCTTGATTTATAGAAAAAACTACAACTGAGCTCCTGTAGAATGAACTGAAGACAAAGACAGAAAAATGATATGCCGTATAATTAACTATTTTAATATGTCGAGAGTACAAAAAATAGAAAAAATCTAACATTCAGCTAAATAATATTTCTAAGAGAAAATTTATCCAGAAACACAAAATTCAAAGCCCTAAAGGAGCTTTATTCTTTACCGACTGAACATTAATTTCCGCAAGAAAAAACAAAATGAAATTACTTCGTAAACATAATCTATAAGCGCAGCTCTAATCCCCTATGATCTACGCGAAATGAACCAATTTCAAGTTTAAGCAAAGATTTCTTTCAAGAAAAATCCCATATTCTGGTTTTCAAATTAACCTTGCAATTTCAACTGATTGACGAAAATTATTAGACGGAGAGAGAACACAAATTTGTATACTTTGGAGAATTTCTCCGACGAAATGTGAATGCGATTGAAGTGTTGAAGCGAACGTAGGGGAATAACCTATTTATGGCGAATTTCTCTGACGAAATGCGAATGCAATTGCCGTGTTGACGTAGATGGGCTATTTTCTTTCTTTTTTGGGAACAACCTATGGTGGGAAGAAGAGTTACTTGGAGTGTTTGACCATTTTACCCTTCAATCTTGAAATGAAAAGTGAGATAGGTGTGTATTTAATGGTGAAATAAACGGTAGATGGACGGAAGGACATTTTTCAAAACAAAACGTTAAAAAAAGGGAAAAAAAAAAAAAAAAAAAACGTATTGACTTTTTCCGTAAGAAGTGCCAAACGTAGGAACATTTTGTTTTATTAACCCTTGTTGGAAATATTGGAGTTACAGAGAAGAGACAAAAGAATATCACAAGAAATTGTAGCGACAAGATGAAGAAATTAGAAAATAATCAATAACAACTTTGAAGGTTTGAACACGGGATCGCTGTTTTCAAACATTATTTGTCCACTCTTTGGTATTTGTGAGATGCTTAAGGGTATTTTAGCAAATGATTTGAATAATTGTAATAAGTCTTGATGCAGAAAATACCAAATCACAAAGTATTTTTCACCAAAACTTGAAGAACACAATAAGAAAATGAATATGAATGTAAACCGAAATTTTGATATTTGTTTGTAGAATAATTTTGTATTTCAAGTGTTTATTTAATTATATTTCTCTTGATCAAAGCTCCACTATATATAGACCTCGTCCATGTACTCGTAATGGTGCCAAAACTTGAGCAAACAGTCACCAAATTTAAATTCAGAACGTTAGAAAATGTCCACCCAACTGTTATTAAATTATACTATGCTGTCGCATGGTATAATCCCGTGGTTTGAATTTCCAGCCGTCTTCCCATTTTTCATTAAATAATTAGATTTGTTTGTTTTGAACAACCAATAAAAGAGACATTTAATTGAGCTGTACCAAATAAGACCTGCCTGCGTTTGCTCATATTGCATAATCACAGTATTAATTATTCAGACTGGACATTTAAAATTGGGGGCATGCAACAGGCCACCAAATCACCAATCTTATCGTAAAAATCCACAAGTCCACCGAATATTTTATTCCTATTTGGTACAGCTCACTTAATGATGCACGATTCATGTCGTTTCAGACAATTTTTAAACCTATTAATTCAAGTAACCCAGTATTGGGTTTCAGCATTGCCCAGTAATTTGAACCAAATTTGAGGCTAATGACTTATGAATCACCACTAGCCCATATCACTACCACAGTATAAAACAAAGCGGCACGAAAGAATCTCGAAACATAGTGCTGAAAATTCACAAAAATCAGCAATTTTTTTGACGATGGCTTTGGCACATAGCAAATGGGTTAAGGTTTGGTTTTTCTTGTTTTCTTGGGTTTTTTAGTTTTTCTGCATTTTTTTTCCTAACCTTTTGTGAGCATTAGTTCATGGGTTCTAATTTTAATAATTCTATTATGCCTTTTACTTTGATCACAAAACCAAAGTAATTATTTTCGTAATTCCAGGATAATTCAATTTTTTCCCTAACTAATTCTACTTATTCACACCACCATTTCATTCTTTAACCCTGTACGTCCTCGTGTTAATTTCCATGAATAAATTATTGACTTTTGGTGAAATCCCAAGTTTCTAGTGAAAAAAATTTCAATTCTTTGTTATGATTAATTATAATTTATAAGGATTTTGCTGAACAACTGTGTCTTTTAGATGACATCCAATTTTTTACTGATCCTCGAATTATGGTAGCATGGTTTAGCAGTGAAAAAAATTTCAATTCTTTGTTATGTCTAATTATAATTTATAAGGATTTTGGTTAATTTTGAAAGTTGACTATGCTTTTTGTTGAACAACTGTGCAGTCTTTTAGATGACATCCAATTTTCAGCTTATTCTTGAATTATGGTGGCATGGTTTAGTAGTGAAAAAAGTTTCAATTCTTTGTTATGACTAATTATATTTTATTAGGATTTTGCTTAATTTTAAAAGTTTACTATGCTTTTTGTTGAACAACTGCGTAGCCTTTTAGATGACATCCAATTTTCAGCTTATGGACGAATTTGGTATCTAAAGTAACTTTTTAGCTATGTAAATGATAGAAATATGAATTCTTTTGTGATGAAATTCAACATACGCAGCTGGAGCAGAAAGGTACTGGACCAGGATCAAGAAGCTCACATGCTATAACCCTTATAGGTGAAAAGGTTTATGCATTTGGTGGCGAGTTCACACCTCGTGTCCCTGTGGATAACAAACTATATGTGTACGATCTCAATGACAAAACATGGTCGATTGCTGATGCAACCGGGGAAATTCCTCCTCCTCGTGTTGGTGTTACAATGGTATCAGTTGCAGAGACAATATATGTTTTTGGTGGAAGGGATGCTACACACAAGGAGCTTAATGAACTCTACAGTTTCGACACGGTTACAAACAAATGGACCCTACTTTCGAGTGGTGCGATGGGGCCCCCACACCGCAGTTACCATTCGATGACCTCAGATGACCGGCGAATATATGTCTTTGGCGGCTGTGGGGATGCTGGACGGCTTAATGATCTATGGGCTTATGATGTTCTTGATGGAAAATGGATCAGTTTTCCTGTGCCAGGGGAGAATTGCCAGCCTAGGGGTGGACCTGGACTAGTTGCAGTTCTCGGGAAAATTTGGGTCGTGTATGGTTTCTCTGGAGTGGAGCTTGATGATGTACATTACTTTGATCCAAATGAAGAGAAGTGGGTTGAAGTCGAGACAAGTGGAGAAAAGCCAACACCTCGAAGTGTATTCTCAACTTTTGCGGTTGGGAAGTATATATTTATATATGGTGGAGAGATTGATCCAAGTGATTTAGGCCACCTTGGTGCCGGAAAATTTTCTGATGAAGTCTTTGCACTTGATACTGAGACGCTAGTGTGGAAAAGATGGGGAGATATCTTGACTGCTGATTACCATCCGGGGCCACGAGGATGGTGTGCATTTGCAGGTGGGCAACGAGATGGCCAAGAGGGATTATTGGTGTATGGTGGGAATTCTCCTAGTAATGATCGACTGGGTGACATTTTCTTCTTCACTCCTTCGTTTGATGTGAATGGAAAATGATGAGAATCGAGATGTTTTTCCATATATGATGATTTAGTTGCAGAGAAACGGATGATGATGTTTCTTTTAGTGTGCATTGTGCTTGTAAGTTGCTTTCTAGAGCAATGAATAAAAATGGAATTGTTGTATCAAAACTATGGGGCGCCGGGGTGTAAGACTTATTTTCAGTTTTATTAGTGTTTCGTACTTTTTCACATATCTTGCTAGAAATTGAATGAATCGACACACATTCTAAGAATTTCTGCATCTATGAAGAGCACGCGACGCAGTTTTCTCTTTATTTCTTTTACGTCTTTATGCTTCTGGTTAGCCTTAGTAACAGTGAAGATGCCCACATTGCCTTCAAAAACCGTGCAAGACCAAACCAGACCAGGCAACCTTAGAAAAAATCAGTTGTCTTTTTGTACAAAATTTGTAGAAAAATCTGTACTTATAACATTATTTTCTGAAAAATTATGAATTTCTATATCAAAGCTGCTATAGCAACAAGGTTTGCCATCAAGGTTTCAATTCGAGGTACACTTGTCAAATGGTGATCGGATAGTTTAAAACGAAAAAAGAATACACAACTTACTAGGAGCTGACGCTCAATAATTGGATGCAAAACCTGTTTAGTGGCCTTGTCAGAGTAGTTTAGTTCTTTCTCTATAGGCATATAAACCTTTATACAACAGTCAGGGAAACTTGGAGAGGAGGCTCCAAACCTTTTAATTTATTGCAAAATATACCTTACTCTTTTATTTTTTAGACCACAGTCCCAAACTTTTTACTTCAATGACAATGGGACTGCATTGGACGGATTCCAATAGTGATGGCAATGGGGCGGGGTGGAGTGCGGCGGCGCAGGGCAACTTTTTGCCCTGTTTGTTGTCCCGTTTAATTTTTTTTACTTTTTATTTTTTTTACATTTTCAAAGTTTCAAATTATGTTATTATTAGAGAATAAAATACAAATTTAAAATGAGTTTTTAACAATGAATTGTTTAGAAATAAAATTATTTTTAATTTTTTTTTTTT